AAAGTTTTATCCTATTTAATAAATTGCACCTTTTAATATCGGTGATTTTTTTTGAAAAGAAGTTTTACACATCGAACCCTTTATTTCAACCACCGGTTCTACGTACCATTCCTCTTCATCAGATGTCTCAGTTATTTGCCTTGAACTCAACTCTTATTTTCTAGTGACCTAGAAAAATAACTCTTAACGCTTTGGGTCTTATCACTGGATTGAATGCAGAATAACGGGTCCTTAAAAACACTCTTATACATCTGTGTGTGATTTTTGGAAAACTAAAACCTTAATCTCCTCTCCACCAGGAACCATTTTTCTAAATGGAGTTTCATCTTGCTATTTTTTTATATACTTTATTTTTTTTCAGAGATTATATTAAATTTTTATTCAGTTCACCTCATGATTTTCTCAAAAATCTATTATTGCCTTTGAGGATTCATTTCCTGCTTGGTCGGCATGCAAATTTGGGACTTGAAGGATGTTGAGGAGGGCAACCAACAGAACTGAGAAGTCAACACCACTAATTTAAGATACGCATGCACAAGATAACAGGAAGTTATATAAATACTTGATCCTATGTTTTTAAAGCCAAAAAAAAAAAAAAAAATGAGATGATTGAATGTTTGAAGAATAACCTGAAACCAGATACCCTTGTTCGGCTAATATTAAGTTGACGAAGTCCCTCAGCGAATAAACAATTGTTTTACGTTTTGAAAATTAGTCTCTATTCTTATAGGACGCGACTTACATAACATTGCAAAAGGAATAAAATAAATACGTGTAAGTAAATCAATAAGTCCGTAGCTTAAAGATGACAAAAGCGTTGATTTAAAAACCAAATATTTTTTCTGCATAATCACCTTTTGTTTGTCAATGCACTCAATGAAATATTAATAACTTAAAATAAACATTATTGTGTGAGAGTTTTGGATCAAAATTCGGCTAATAACTCTGCATCCGACTGTTAAATGATGGATATACCTTTTTATTTATTTTATTATATATTAAACAACAAAATCCAAAATTACGATCATATGGCGGAAATAAAGATCTATTTCAAACGAACACTGCGTCGGTTAAATAAATACTGTTTTCATATCCAACCCAGATGAGGAATCAGAATTATTTGAATTATTTATATTATTCGACTTTATCCTCATCTTCATTGCCATATATTTAACGTTTTTCCCGTTGTACGCTCCAGCCTTCTTCAGGTGATTGAATCTCTGAGATGAGGTATTATGATTACTTACTTTGGCTACATTATTTGACTGTTATCCTCATCTTCATTGCCTATATTCACAACGTTTGGCCGGTGATTCTTCAACTGATTGGAATTTCGAGAAGGCGAAAAAACTTTATTTCAACCATCGTTGGACGTACCACTGCTCTTCCAGATGTCTCAGTTATTTATATTTTGGTCAAATCTTTAAAATTGCGGTATTGAACTCACACAACGCTTTGGGTCTACACACACACACACACACACACACACATCCACTCGAGGACATATATATATGAATTTTTAACTTATAAACCTAATGTCTCAGCAACCATTTTTTTTTATCAGTTTTCATATTGCTATTTTTTTTATTATTTTATTTTTTTTACCAGAGTTTATATTATAATTTTTGTTGTTATTTCTTGCTTTTCTATATATATATATATTATATAGAGGCTCCTATATATATTCATTTCTATATATATATATATACACGCTCAGAGATTTATGGTATATATATATATATGTGCTGATTCTCTAAGTATTATATATATTTCAACCTTCCCATCAAGTATATATATAACGGTATATATTTATACACGCATCATATGGTTATATATATATATATATTATATATACCCCTGTCATAGTATGAGACATCTGGAAGAGATATGGCACGGGAACTAGAACACATCACATCCAGTAGATATATATATATATGTATAGTTCATCCTGTCAATATATATATATATATATATATATGGATATATACAACGGCCCCAGCTGAATATAGCGATGAAGATGATATAAGAGTCTATCCTATGTAAATAACGCTATATATATATATATATATATATATATCCAATCCTATAAGATAGGCCTATATATATATCCTATATATATATATATATATATATATATAGATATATATACAGTCCGAATAATATATATATATATATATATATATATATATATATATATATATATATATATATATATATATATATATATATATATATATATATATATATATATATATATATACACGTCTGCCCGTGCTTGATATAAAATCGTATACACGACTCATACAGCAATATATATATATATATATATATATTGCATCCTATTTATATATATATATATATACAAAATAATACACAAAATATTATTTATAAATATATATATATTTATATATAGACAAGTTCCTAAAAATTAATAATATATATATAAATATCATATCATTGAAATTTATATATATATCATATATATATATATATATATATATTTTATATAAAATTTATAATATATATATATATATATATATTTATATGGACAAGATGAAGGGTATATATATATATATATATATATATAAACCGTTGTGTCATATATATACCTATTTATATATAAAGTTTAGTAAAGGGAAAAATCTGGGAATCAATCTTGTCGATTCAATTTGAAAGTTTGAAATTATGACATGAAAAATAACCACAAAATATTTTTTAAAAAGCGTTACCACTTTTTTGAAAGACAAGTTTTGAAAAAATAAGGGCCAAAATATTTTTATATATTTTTTTTAAGGAAATGTGTTAAGAAACGTTATTTAAAACTGGAACATTGATATTTCATTCCAGTGATCAGTAAAAAACAGTGGCAACAACCTTATAAAGCTTAAACTATCTGATGAGGAATTTCTATGGATAAAATACAATGAACATAGACATTATTACAAATCGAACATCAAATCCAACCTTTATTTAACAAAGGGAAATTATACTGAACAGTTTACCATATTTTGATGTAATATGTTGTGATGTTCAATAAATAATGCACATTTAAATATTTTAAATGTGCTATTGCACTCGAATTTCCAAATTGAGCTTGAAGACATAGAACGACAAAAAATAAATTTTCTAAATCACACTGTTTTTTGAGGACAAGTTTCAAAATTAAGAATATTTTCAAAATCATAGCGTTGAAATTTCATTTCGGTGATCAGTGAAAGCCTTTATAGCACAGTTTTATAAAATTTATAATTTACTGAAGCTTTTGCAAAATGTTTATGGACAAGATGAAAGTTCCACATAGGATATTATTACTGAATTCGTGCCATCAAATAAGACCTTCATTTAAAATTTTCAGACATTAGTTGTTGCTGCCATTTAAATCTTTATTATAAACAGGTCATTTACTTAAATTTTGAAAGTTTGCTTTAAATAATATAAATAACCACAAAATATTTTTTCAATCGTTACCGTGTTTTTTTGAAGAGACAACTTAAAGATTAAGTCCAATTATTTTAATATATTTATTTTTTATACGTTATTTATATATGCATAAATATTTATAAAATGTCTGTTTAAAATAAACAGTATTAACAACATTTACCGAGCTCAACGGCTATTATAGTTTTATTGAAAATATGTATGTATCGTTTGTGTATCCAACATGGAACAGCCATATAACCTTTATTGCTTTTTCCAGTTTGGTTAGGAAGGACAATTTTACTGCTTTTAAACTTACAAAATTTTTGTATTTTGACTTCCCAAAACCGAAAATATATAGATGCGAAAACCTATCTTTAACGTAAACAAATGCTGTATTTAATAAAAGACGTTTGAAATGGAAGCTTGCTTCCCAATTATCTTAATATATTGTTATACGTTATTTATATAGACACAAATATTTAAGTAAATGTTCTGTTTATAATAAACAGTATTAACAACATTTATCGGCCTTAATGCCCGAGAAAATTCATAGAAAATATGTGTCATTCGACAGTAAGGGTATATTGGGATCTCTAGCCTTGATTGACAACTAGAAGAGTAATTCTGAATTCAAAACTGTAACAAGATGGATGTGCTGGTAGGGTATTTGTTATCGGCGCGAAAGGTTTCAACTTTTTTGCGGTAGCGTAACTTGTTTTAAATTGGGGCTATACATTCTCTATAGTAGTGAGTCCCGATGTCTGCGCTGCATGATCTTCTTCCATCTGTCGCATCCCTTTAGGACATGGGGAATCATCGATCTCTGAAATTTCTTATCCCTTGTCCCCCTTACCAGTTTTTCTCTCTTTGCCCAGGCTTCTATTCCAACATCAATTTACACAAGCTCGTCAAGTAGTGATTTTCCAAGCGTAGCTCAGATTTGGCACAAGGCAGAAAGTATGGGGTACCCAGTGAGGATCGAACTCACTACTTAGTCGTAATAGTTCTAGCGAGAAAAGCTTGCTAAACATTACACCACCTCGAGGTGCCTATGTAGTGATTTTCTAAGCCCGGCTTAGATGTGGCACAAGGCCGAAAGTAGGGGGCACCCAGTGAGGATCGAACTCACTACTCAGTCGTAATTGATCTAGAAAGACAAGCTTTCTAACCATTACACCACGCCGAAGTGCCCCTCAAGCTCGTCAAGTAAGTGACGCCCTCTATCTCCCCCCACTCAATATGACTTTTCTTTCCTATTATGTGTCCAAGGAATTTCAGTTATCTTTCCTTGATTTTGTGTTTGACTGTACTTTCTGTCGCCATTTTCTTTGAGACTTCCTCGTTGCTTAATTGTTCGGTTCATAGAATTCTCAGTATCCTCCTGTAGAACAACATTTCTGTTGCCTCTAGTTTTCTCTTCATTCGTGGGGAGATTGTCCAGTATTCACTGCCATATAAAGAGGGTGGCTATCACATAGCAATCCAGAACTCTTTTCTTTGTTTCTAACGAATTCTTTTTTCTCCTTTTCTCAGCACCTTACTTAGCTTTTGGAATGCTTCTTTCGCTCGTCTAATGTATGTTACCGTAACAACGATTCCAGGCAATCTGAATTCAATTCGTTGTCACTCGCTCCCAATGATGTAAAGCAACATCTGGCACAAATAAATCTACACCACGTTTTGTTGAACTTCAACGTTTAAACACTAGATGGCGCCCGGTCCACGGACAATTTTTTTTCCTAGAACTGAGTTGAACTTCCGACTTCTTCGTCTTCTATGTGTCGTGTTCCTTTAGGATGTTGGCGATCATGGCTCTCCACAACTTCCTCTCCTTTGTAGCTCTTAATAAATTCTACCTTTTTGCTATCTCTCCCAATATCCTGCTCCACTCAATCTCGTCAGGTAGGTTATGCGTTGTTTTTCTCTGTCTCTCATGTCTTCAGTCTGTCCTGTGAGTATCAACATTTCCAAGCCCCTTTTCCTCATTACACGCCCTAGAAATCTCTTCCGGGTGTTAAGTATGTGTCCTTTTTTGTTACCATTTTTTCTAAAACTCTGTCATTGCTCACATGTTCGGTTCATGGTATTCTCAGCATCCTTCTGTAGAACCACATTTCTGTTGATTCAAGTCTTTTCTTCATTTCTGAGGAGATTGTCCAGCATTCACTGCCATATTGAAGATCCCAATGTACCTTCGGATTTCAGTGTCGCACTTTCCGTCCTCTGTTAAAACGCTTTCCAGATATCTAAACTGTTGTACTAATTTGATTTTGGAATCCCCAATTTGTAATTTGCATGTTTCACTGTCCCTTTTGCTAACAACCATGCATTGCATCTTCTTGCAATTGATGTTTAGTCCTTTCTTCTTTCTTTCTTTCACTACCTTCTGTAGAAGTTTTTGTAGGTTTCTTTCCGTGTCTGCTATCAACACTGTGTCACCTGCATAACTCATGTTGTAAAGATTGTGGCTGCCAATAATGAATCCTGGTAGGACTTCTAATTCTTTCAGAATCGCCTAGCTGTATAGGTTGAATAAGTCCCGCGAGAGGACACACCCTTGTCTCATACCCATTTCTATTTTTGTATATTTACTGAACGCATTCTTTTTCCGTATGCAAACAGTTTCCTGCCAGTATAGGTTGTGGGTTATTCTAATATCCTTCCCAAATACTTTCAAGGTTACCTAGCAGTTCCAAAAATTCTTTGGGACGTACATTCTCAAACGCTTTTGAATAATCTATAAAACACAGGTACACTTCCTTCTACTTTTGTATTTCTCTTTCTGATATCATTCCCAGCATAAATATTGCATTCCTTGTTACAGTGTATTTAACGAACCCACACTTTTCTTGTCCTATTTCCGGACTGATTCTGCTGCGCGCTCTACTCGTCAGAATTCTGATAAGTTTTGTTATATGGCTCATTAGACTGATTGCCCGATGGAGTTCCCATTCGTTCGCACCTGGTTTCTTATGCAGTGCTATGAAAATAGATCTACTTAGGTCTTCCGGTATCTCACCACTGTTGTATATTTCACTTATTATGTCAATCTTGTCAATACCGAAATCCTCTAACATTGTCAGCACCTCTACTACAATTCCTTGTGGTCCTGCTGTTTTTACTGTTCAATTTGGCAATACTGATTTCACTTTTAATTTTATTTGGGACACCTTGATAAATTCAATTCTTTTGTTTAATTTTGTCCCCAAATCGAAAGTGGTTAGCTGCATGTTTTTCTCAGTATATTTTATGATGAGTGATGGCCAGAAAAAAGTTACTGCATTTTCATTAATACTGTAAGATGGATGAAACATCACCTCTTTTCGATTCACTAGAGCAGGTCTTTTTTTCCTCAAAGCTTGGTTCAAACGCTCTAATTGCTGACAGTATATTTGAACATTAATTGTTGCATTAGGTGGTAAGAATTCAAAGTGGATTATTCCTTGGCGATCCCACCAGATTGAAAGAAGAACCTTTTGACCATTAAGTTCCCTTCTCGGCTGTGGCTGGGGTCCTTCCCTTTTACCAAGCCACTGTTTACGACGATTAACATTTCGATAAAAGATCCATTTTTCATCGCCAGTCACAAGTCTATCCAAAAAGGTGAAACAAGTTGGCGAGAATGGAGAGAAGAACAGATGTCAACTCGGGATTTGAGGTTGTTTTCAGACAATTCAGGAGGCACCCATTTTCCAAGTTTAGGAACTTTTCCAATTTGTTGAAGATGACGATGAACAGTTGTATGGTTTGAACTGAGAACCACTGCCAATTCCTCAACTGATAAAGCAGGATTTTCTTCAAGGGCTGCTTCAAGAAGCTTTTCATCAAACTCAACTGGACGTCCGGTTCGATCTTCATCTTCAAGGATGAAATCTCCACCTCTGAATTTTGCAAACCATTTTCTGCAAGTTCTTTCATTCACACATTCCTCTCCATAAACCGAGTGAATGTTTCTAGCCGCTTGGGCTGCTGAGTTTCCTTTCTTGAATTCATAAAGCATTATGTGCCTCAAATGATTCTTGGGTACTTCCATGTTAGCAGGGTTTTAATCAAACAAAATTTAATTTTATTGTTCTCTGAAATAAAATTTGATCAGTTTAAATGCATCTAAACATAAAAATAATGTTCAGCTCCATTAGACATTATAAAATACTCTTTAAATTTCGTTCATTTTAACAAAAAGTGAAAATTCGGACAGAAATTATGGGATGACCTGATATTATAACTAGACTACCCATGAACCGTTGGCTCACTGACAGTTCAGGTTGAAGTTGATTTCAACATTAACATATTGTCTGTTTGAAGAAAGATGAAATAAAAAAATACTTATTGTATAAACAACTCGTATTTTTAAATCTTATTCATTTGAAATATTTTTTAAAATCACATTAACGTAAAAATATATTTTTAATATCGAAAAAATAAAAATCATATTTACTGAAAATAAATTTTTGGAAAGAGAAAGGTGGAAATATGGCAAAAAATATTGTTTGCTTAAAGAAATCTGAAATATAAATAAGCACGCACGCAATCACAGAGAGGTGGAAAAAGAGAGAGAGGGGGAAGGGAGAGGTGGAAAGAGAGAGAGAGAGAGGGGGAAGAGAGAAGTGAAAAGAGAGAGGTGGAAAGAGAAAGGTGGAAAGAGAGAGAGAGAAAGGTGGAAAGACAGAGATGGAGAGAGAGAGGTGGTAGAGAGAAGTGAAAAGAAAGAGGTGGAAAGAGAAAGGTAGAAAGACAAAGAGGTGAAAAAAGAGAGGTAGAAAGAAAGAGGTGAAAAGACAGATAGATGGAAAGAGAAAGATGGACAGACAGAGGGACGGAAAGAGAGGGAGAAAGGGGAAGACAGAGAATGGAAAGAGAGAGGTGGGAAGAAAAGAGGGAAAGAGAGAGAGAGAGAGAGAGAGAGTTGGGAAGACAGAGAGATGGAAAGAAAAAGGTGGAAAAAGTGAAGTGAAAAGAGAGGGATGGAAAGAAAGAGATGAAAAAAACGGTGGAAAGGGAGACTGGAAAGAGAAGGTGGAAAGAGAAAGGTTGAAAAAAAAAGGGTGGAAAGACAGAGATGAAAAAGAAGGAGAGATGGGAAGAGAGAGGTGAAAGAGAAAGGTGGAAAGACAGAGAAATGGAAAGAGAGAGGTGGAAAGTAAAAGGTGGAAAGAAAGAGAGGTTGAAAGGGAAAGGTGAAAAGACAGAGAGATGGAAAGAGAAAGGTGGAAAGAAAGAGGTGAAAAGACAGAAAGATAGAGGTGGAAAGGCGGAGAGAGAGAGAGAGGTTGGAAGACAGAGAGATGAAAAGAGAGGGGTGGAAAGAAAGAGATGAAAGGACAGATGGAAAGAGAAATGTGAAAAGAAAGAGAGATGGAAAGAGAAAGGTGGAAAAAGAGGGGCGGAAAGAGAAAGGTGGAAAGACAGAGAGATGGGAAGAGAGAGGTGGAAAGAGAGAGAGAGGTGGGAAGACAGAGAGATCGAAAGAAAACGGTGGAAAGAGAGACGTGAAAAGATTGGGTCAGAAAGAAAGAGGTGAAAAGACAGAGGGATGGAAAGAGAAAGGTGGAAAGACACAGAGATGGAAAAAGAGAGAGGTGGGAAGACAGGGAGATGGAAAGAAAGAGAGTTGGAAAGAGAAAGGTGGAAAGAAAGAGAGGTGAAAAGACAGAGAGATGGAAAGAGAAAGGTGGAAAGACAGATTCGTCAAAGAAAGAAGGTGAAAAGAAGAGGAGAGAGATGGGAAGAGAGAGGTGGAAAGAGAGAGAGAGGTGGGAAGACAGAGAGATCGAAAGAAAACGGTGGAAAGAGAGAAGTGAAAAGATTGGGTCAGAAAGAAAGAGGTGAAAAGACAGAGGGATGGAAAGAGAAAGGTGGAAAGACAGAGAGATGGGAAGAGAGAGGTGGAAAGAGAGAGAGAGGTGGGAAGACAGAGAGATCGAAAGAAACAGAGAAGTTGGAAAGAAAAGGTGGAAAAGAAACAGAGGGGAAAGAAAAAAAGAAAAGGTGAAAAGACAGAGAGATGGAAAGAGAAAGGTGGAAAGAAAGAGAGGTGGAAAGAAAGAAAGGTGAAAAAACAGAGAGCTGGAAAGAGAAAGGTGGAAAGACAGAGAGGTCGAAAGAGAGAGAGGTGAAAAGTGAACATGAATACAACCATTTATGTCTGCAATCCGGATATTAAAGAAGGTCACCATCTGAAACGAACACACACCATTTCCTTATTCCCCACTTCCTACACTATAATAAATTTATATCTTTCTTTCACCCACTCTCCTTATATGACTTCTGGCAAACACACAAGCAACGTTCACAGAGTTTTATAATAATAAAGATAGTCATCGCTCTTCTTTTCTGATAATGTTGTGCGAACTAATTTCAAATAAGGGCAAAGTCACCTAATATTATATATATATATATATATATATATATATATATATATATATAATCGACTCTCCCGTCGAGATTCGACGTATGAGGGTCAAGCAGATCAGTTTCAGGAAACCGACAGCCCGAGACATGAAAAAGATTTGATTATAGTGGTGAAGGCCTCGTGCAGGACCATCCATACTTTTGAAGGGACGAATACAGAGACAACGTGCACCGAATGCCACAAAGTTCCCCAAACGACCCTCCGCAGGTTTTGTAATTCAGAGTTTTCCTTCTCCTAGACCAGATGCCATCCAAGTCTATAGAACCTAGTCTGTCCTGTTATTTTACCCATAGCTGGAGGGAGAGGAAGATGATTCATACCTTTCCCAAGGGTATTAGCACGTAAAGTGAATGTAATGGGTTCGACTGGAACTCGGCTCTGCGATTCCTCAATCAAGCCGCTATCCATTACTCCACCGTAGAAAGAAAGAGGTGATATATATATATATATATATATATATATATATATATATATATATATATATATATATATATATATATATATATATATATATATATATATATATATATATATCACTTAATAAATGATCTAACCGGATTGAAGTAATGTAGAATTTTTAAATGATTTATATATTATTATTGTTTTTAAATAAATAAATTCAATTCTTGTAAAAATTCATTATTCATTGTTTTTTTAAGACAATAGGGTACTTAAAAAATCTTATTTATAATAGCAATTAAAAGCTTTTCTAATTAGGTAATGTTATATTTTTATTCCATTTTAATTGTACGAATCGGAGCAGATTTTCGGGAAATGAGTAGCAGTTTGAAAAAAAAAAATGTGACAATTTACATTCTTCAAGGAGAATTTTGAGACTAATATCAATTTATTGAAATTTCACGAAATTAAGTAACATATGTGGAAAAAATTTTTTAACAATATTTTCTAAAAAAAATTTCAAAAAAAAAAAATTTCATTTATTTATGAATAAGATCTGAAAGTTTCATTCAAGTACGACAATTATTTGATTTTTGCAAGAATTTCAAAATCAATGTATTTTCAGCTGAAAAAAAGCGCTAAAACCACAAAATGTCGACCACCGAGGCAAAGAAAAGATTTTAACCAATAGTTTGAACGTGTGGGAAGTGATTAAAAAAAATTAATGAAATAATAAAAATACTTCCGTCTTTAATCTTAATAATAACATAAAGATTTTGACGATAAAACTTAGTTTTTATTAAATTTGGGGCATTTTTTCATTTTTGGACTCTTCCTCTTACTATAAAATTGGTAGGAAAGTGTTGTGGTATCCTCCTTCTAATGAGTCTATTGTGGACTCTTCCACTTACTATAAAATTAGTAGGAAAGTGTTGTGTTATCCTCCTTCTAATGAATCTATTTTGGACTCTTCTACTTACAATAAAATTAGTAGGAAAGTTTTGTGTTATCCTCCTTCTAATGAGTCTATTGTGGACTCTTCCACTTACTATAAAGTTAGTAGGAAAGTGTTGTGGTATCCTCCTTCTAATGAATCTATTGTGGACTCTTCTACTTACTATAAAATTAGTAGGAAAGTGTTGTGGTGTTCTCCTTCTAATGAGTCTATTGTGGACTCTTCCACTTACTATACAATTAGTAGGAAAGTAAGGCTCGGGGGAACAGTAGCATAAATTGAACGCTGGTCAACCGACACACACTCCCAAGTCGTGTAATACTCTTCCGTTGTATTTACTGTTCAATACACGATTTATCTGCAACCTCTTGTTTTGTTAACGAGATTTGTTTGGTTACTACATTTTCTTTGAACTTAAAACACTTCAGAGATCAAAGAAAACAAAAACATTAATGTTTTGAGCCCCGTTTTTATAAATTCCCAACCATTTGGCTATCTCTCGTGTCATCTTCCCCTTCAAAATCATAACATTCATCTTTGTTTCACAGAAATTTTAGCTATGAATTTAGTATAAAAAGCAAGGTAATGTTAAATCATAATGATTGTAATATCAAAGGCACCCTATACTACTACTAATAAGCCTTAACAATTTCATTTGAAATTTTCAATTATCATTTCCATCTCAGATCTTTAGGAAAGATTTGTAAAAGGCTCTTTTTATCATTAAAGTTGGGAACAGTTGGACGGCACGGACGAAAAAAACGCAACAATTTATTTACAGAGAGATCGAAAGAAAACGGTGGAAATTGAAGGTCTACACGACACTGAAAAAGGCAACAATTTAATTACCAATACTCAAGCTCCACAGGAAACTTCTGAAAAGGCAACATTTTATTTAACAATCCTCAAGCTCCAGAGAATCTTCTGAAAACGAAGACAATTTATTTCATAAACCTCATGGACACTTCGAAAACGCAACAATTTATTTACCAATGAAAACGGAAACAATTTTAAAGACCAATACGCAAAAACCACAAAAGAAAACGACGATTCCAAAAGCGCAACAAATGATTTACCAATCTCAAGATCCCCAGAACCTCTAACACAACCATGTTTTTTTACCAATCTTCGTTGCAGAATAATTTTCAACAATTCATTTAACTCTCCTCCAAGGTCCAAGATTCTCTTCCGACTACGGAACAAGTTATTTACCGATGCCCAAGTTATTTACCGATGCCACACGACACGTCCGAAAACGCAACAATCTATTTATCAATCCTCAATGTCCACAGGAAATTTCCGAAAACGCAACGTTTTATTTACCAATCATAAAGCTCCACACGAATCTTTGAAAACGAAACAATTTATTTACAAATCCTCAAGGTCTACAGACACTTCCGATGAGGCAACAAATGATTTACCAATCCTCAAGTTCTAAAGGACACGTCTGAAATTGCAACAATTTATATAACACTCCTCAAAGTCCACACGATTCTTCTGTAAATGCAACCATTTATTTACCAATCCTTAATGTTCACACTACTATTCCGAAAACGCAAAAATTTATTTACCAATCGTCAGTGTCCACGCAACTATTCCGAAATGCAACAATTTATTTACCAATCCCTATTGTCTACACGACATCCCTGGAAACGTAATTTTCAATCTATCTTCAAGATCTACAGACAATTTCGATAAAAGCATGCCATGAAACAATCTTAATTTCTTAATAAAGTAAAGGTGTATAATAATTTTATATCGTTGGCTGAAGAGTTTTGCACACCAGTGTAGGTAAAATTTAACTGTTTCCTCGAAGCAAGATCTCGCGTAAATTGAAAATTTCCTTAGGTCTAGTTGGGTAATTTAAAGAACAAGACATAAATTTGCATCACAGAAACAAATTATGTAGCTTTGTACTTGAGAAGAAATCGGTGTTTGTTGCATTTCGAAGCTGCTTATTAGGAAGAGGGGAAAAAATTCAAGCGATGAAGACTGAAAAAGATTTCGCTTCAAATGTGAATTTAATAAATTTCTGCTTTTTCTACAGTGATTTAAGAAGCGTAGCTAAAATGTGGTGCAATATGAGCACACAGTGAGGATCGAACTCACGACTCTGTCGCAATTGTTCTAGCGAGACAAGCTTGCTAACCATTACAACACGTCGATATATAATTTCTATCTGAATTGTTATGATTTTCTGTGTAGGGAGGCACGGTGCAGTAATGGATAGCGGCACGGATTGAGGAATCGGAGAGCCGAGTTCGAATTCCAGTCGAGTTCATTACATTCACTTACGGGCTAATACCCTTGGGAAAAGTATGAATCCTTTTCTTCTCCCCCAGCTATGGTTAAATAGAAGGACAGACCGGGTTCTATAGTCTTGGATGGCAACTGGTCTACGCAGAAAGAAATGGCAACTTACTGCGGGAAAAAATCTGCCTCGTCAGTCATGTATCGAAAGATACCTAATAGCCTAAGCTTGTATCACGCATGTCACATAACTGACTGTGCTGTGTACTTTCAAGACAGAAGCGATCATGGTTCTCCACAGCATTCTTTGTAGCTTTTAGTTTTGTCTATCCACCATTCCATACAATCAATGTTCCATAATTCATTTGCAGAAATTCTTTAAGTACGTTACTTACTGTTTCACTTCTTGTCCTCTTGCTTTCAGGCTGACCTGTGAGTGTCAAATTCTCTAAGATCGCTTTCCTCATTATTTGTCCTAGAAATTTCGACTATCTCTTTCTGGGTCTAAGTGCAACCGTATTTTTTGTTACTATTTTCCTTAAAGCTTCTTCGTCGCTTGCATGCTCTGTCCAAAATATTTTCAGTGTCCTTTTTTGGGACCATATTTTTGATGCTTCACGTCTCTTCGTCATTGTTCAACATGTAGGATGATATTGCATAGCACTTCAGCACACTTCAGTTAGTTTCTAATGAAATTTTAATGTCACATTATACATTGCTTAGATTCTAGAAGGCATTGTTTAAAACAATAAAACTATCCCTAGATCATACTTTGCTGATGGCAAAGTTAACATAATCAAAAGTAATTATAATTCTATATAAAATAGCCCTATTCTATCAGTAATGCTTGCATTCATTCCTGACCACTGACAATCCCTTTCTTCCTCATTTGCAATGCATTCCTATAGTAAAACACTGCTACAAAATAATAATTATACATATAATAGCCCTATTCTATCAGTAATGCTTGCATTAATTCCTGACCACTGACAATCCCCTTCTTCCTCATTTGCAATGCATCCTATAGTAAAACACTGCTACAAAATAATAATTCTACATATAATAGCCCTATTCTATTAGTAATGCTTGCATTCATTCCTGACCATTGATAATCCTTTTTGTTCTCCATTCGCACTTCATTTACTATATAGGAAAATCACCCGAAAGCATGTCTAAAATAAACACTGCCGCAAAATTATGTGACACCCACCGGTAGTCGCGGTCGCGATCCAGCGCCAATATGTGACGTCCACTGGTCGCGACGTCAATATATGTCACTGCGCCGTCGGCCCGTGGTCAACTCTCATTTGCAGCGCGAAGCCGTAAGGTTTCTTCCACCAGCGTTTTGGGGTTGACTCCTTGTCGCTGCCACCAGCCTGTGTTCCGGTCGATCTGGCCGTTTCCGGTTCGATACCAGCTTTGTCGTTCTCAGCTCGCCTCCAACGCTTGGTCACCGAAGTAACTGCTTTGATCTCAAGTCACGTTGTGACTTTGATCTTAGGTAGACGAAATCAATCTGGCGTCGGGCCGTAGTGCAAGCTGAATCCAGGCTAAAGGTGATACCGCACAAGCGTAAGTAAAAGAAACATAATAAAACAAACTTATGCGGTCCAAATATGTTGAGAAATAACAATTATCTTTATATATCTGTTGAATACAGAAGTGTGTTTCTCTCCCGGCCCGTTTCTATGAATTCCTGCGTTTCTTAAGTGAGTTATGGCATCTTAAGTCGTTCATCAATAAAAACTTGCTTTTGGTAGGAAGACTAAGTCGAAAGGCGTGGAATCTTGGTCAGCTTCCACGAAGCGCTGTTCTCCGAGACCAACAGCTCTCTGTCGATCTGTGTCTTCGTCTCCGATCTCCAGCTCAACTCACTGAACGCCCGGGGACGTTTGTTTATATGGACACCGACCAAAACCGGGGTAGGGGCCTGTTGTGGTTTGGGTTCTTTGACAACACTTAATTCCCAACAAAAATTCTCTTTGTCCTCAGGACCGGAAAATTTATTACTTCCCATTTTGGGAAGCTAATCACTTTCCATTTCGGGGGGTTCTCCCCCGTCTGTGAGGAGAGGTCGGAGGAGAATTATCCTCCTAGACTCTTCCTTTCTCATATTGGTATCTCATACCAATCCTCTTAGTGGGTGTCAACAACTTCCCCGCCTTTCTCATACATTCACCTTCGCCTATCACTCACGCCACCACTTGGCCAATGATCGCTCGGCAGCGTGGATATGGCTAGACCTGGCCTCCCTAAAATTATCGTCCAAAAAAAAAAAAAAAGAATTCTCTTTTCTTTTCTTTCCTTCTTTTCTATCGTCCAGAATTCTTATGAATCCCACGTGGCCATAATTAGATTTTTATCTTATCCTGAGCCACCCAAAACCCACTTAGCTGAATCTCTACCGACTCATTAATCACTGCTAGTCAACTTTTTAACTGGGTGGTCGTGTTCCACCTGAAAATCAAATTCTTTATTTTTCTCGTGCCTTAAAATTTTCGTAACACCAGATGCCCACTCTCGGCGACATTAAGTGTGTCGTCAACAGTTTGATTAAGCAATAACAATGATCATATCAAGATCTGTATACATAACGGCTGGCTTTCTTCGTCGGAATCCAAGAATGAAAAATATTAATGGTATCTCTGATAGATAGCCGATATTGATTTCTTCTGCCTGTATGCAGTTGACCGAAGCCGAAATTTTTTTTATGGTCGTCGTGTGTGGTCGGCTTTATCATTCCTCCCCGAATTCTGTTTCCCTTGGCGCGTCACTATCTGATCATGACATTAATTAATTCTGACAGAATCTGAAATCTGGCTTTCTCTTACGGATTTTCTGTCTTCTGCGAAAAAGTATCTTTCTTCGTAAATGAAATAAAATCTTTTCCCATTCTTTTTTGTTAAAAAAAAAAATGTCGCTCGGTCTGTCTTTCGATATAGCTCTTTCTCGCCTTAAGTAGTTTTCGTTTTTAATTTCTATGCTTAATTAGTTAGCCAATTACCATAGCTAAATAGTGTCACAATTATAATTACTGGCCGATCCTTTTTTTTTGTCTCCTTCTAACATTCAAAATATACCAGAACAAATTTTAAGTAAAAAAAAAAAAAAAAAAAAAAAAGACGCGTGAAAATTTCAGGGTTTTCCTATTTTAATTTTGTCATGAATCTTAATTCTTAAGTTAATGATTGAAGACTCTCATGGCGAGATCTACGACAGTAAAATGTTCGTAGAAATCCCCTTATTGAATCATTAAATATTTGAGCTTAACAGCTTTAACAAAATATTGCAATAATAATCATAAATGTGAATGCTGGCCGTTATTTTAAGAAGTAAGGGGGTACAAATGAAAAGAGTTGAATTTGACAACGTTTCTCCATTTCACTTAAACAATCGTTAAACACTTCTATCTTCCTTTCTTTTTTTCATTTTCTCACTGAAACCAAGTAGAGGCTGTCTTTTGTTTTTTTTTTCTAGGCAATCAAAACGAACAGTCAATTATGAGTTATTGGCAGATGTTAAACATTTCTCTCTTTCTTCCTCGGAAAATCCCCATCTTAAGGACATTTCTCTTAATAATAATTTAAAAATTATTCAGCAGACGATGTCATTTTATTTGTGGTAACTGGATTTTTGGCGATTGCCTTACCCGATTTTCATCATTAGATACTGTACGTCTGAAGAATGACTCTTTTATCGTGGTTGTCAAGCATTTCGCCCTTTTGTCTAAGATCAAAGTCTAGTATCAGTTCTTATTAGCTTAATCCAATTCTGCTTAATCCGATTCTGTATATCCACTTCTGTCTTTCTTTCTTTCTTTCTTTCTTTCTTTCTTTCATTTTCTCCCTGAAACAAGTTACTGACTTTTCCCCTCTTTCCACGCAATCAAAACGGAATAGTCCATTATTTATGAGGTATTGGCAGGGCGCAGCGGTCGTGCGAACTAAAGAAGGGAGAGGGACAAACAGAATTATATTACGCGCATAAATCCGTCAGAAGGCCTCTGGAGAATCGAGATGAAGAGGAAACAGTTTTGCAGTGTCATTAAAATAATTTAGAAACGAAATTGAAGCCTCCTCAAAGCATATGATTCAAGCAACAATATTCGAATTTCGGAATTATTAATTTTATATTTTCTATAGCTATTCGCAAAACGCCTAATGGAATTTTAGTTAATTGTTTTCTTGCTATGCATATTTTAGGATTTATATATTATAATTATTGTATTCCCAAATATACGGGAAGCTGTTCAAAAGTCTTCGGCAATCCTGGGTTAACACAAACCACCAAGCTCATGGTCTATTGAGCTGTTGTAATCACGGCTCCCCTGTATGCCCGAGAGACCTGGGTACTCTACTGAAGAGACATCCGCAGATTTGAAAGATTCCACCAACTTCGTCAAATCCTACTAAAAGTTTGTTAGGACTCGATCATAAACAGAGCATATTTTTTATGCTTTGTATCTATAAAAAACGCATAAACAGAAGATAACACACACACACACACAGATACATACATCTTATTATAAAACGAAGATTGTGTGTGTGTGTGTGTGTGTCTGTAGGTTTATATATTGGATCGGATTTCCTACATTTTTCAACCGATTTCAACAAAACTTCACAGGACTGCGTAAAATTACCTTGCGGTGGTTCTGAGAGCGCCCAAAATTGGAAAAACACAATTGTTTTTGCACGAAATCAATTTCAAAACACGATTAAGAGGCATCGCGAGAATGAAAGGGTGACAACTCATATCGAGTTATACTTATTATAAAACCCAGGTTGTTTGTGTGTGTGTTCGTTTATATATGGGATCGGATTTCCTACATTTTTCAACCGATTTCAACAAAACTTCACTTTTTTTGGCAGGTAGTGTTTTTCTTATTGTCTTGCACACTTTTTTTTTTATTTTACATTCAGAATGCTTTAAAAATTCCATTTTACAAGACAATAGTTTATAATAAAATTCTATTCAATCGGTAGACTCATAACGATTGAAAACAATGTTTTGTTTGAGTTTGGGTTTGACCGATTCGTAAAAAACAAAAACAAAAAAAAAAAACAAAAACAAAAACAAAAACTAATTAAGACATATGTGTCCGTCAACCTTAAACAATAATCTTTGTCAATTTTATTTTTCAGTCTTTATGATGGTCGATACTTGATCTATCTCTTACTGTAACATCCCCGAAACGCCTGGCTCTAATGCTATATATATATATATATATATATATATATATATATATATATATATATATATATATATGCACTGGATGCGGACGTCTCTTCAGATTCAACATAGGACTCATTTATTTTTCACTGCTACTGACAGTCAGATTTTACCGCGGAATTGATTTGCGTGCAGGAGAGTCACGATTCGGCAGAGTCTGTCTTCTTCGTAAGAAAGCAAGGAAGCTGGCAACAGGAGGAAGCAGAAGTTGTTACATGAAATGCACGCACGTCTAAGACAGCAGGGGACTAAAGAGACAGCAGTTAGGTAGGTTGCTGCCGGGCGTCCGCACCTGGTACCTTGGTATCTGCGTGCGAGAGCGAAGAAAGACAAAGTTCGTGGTGATCGGCCGACCAGGAGGAGTACTAGGAACAGGACCGGGCGCGCCGGACGGTACAGCGACGCTCCAGCAGCAGCCACCTTCCTACACAGAAAGAAATATCGATGAGCACCCCAATATTCGGCAACGAGTTCCGCCAACGACGAGCAAATATATACGTGATTTGTTTGGTTGCTTTTTTCTGTAGCGGCATATCGACACCTCTATGGATCATTTAATTGCCGAAATCGAAATATTTTGTGTGCAATTTTTATATTTACTTTTGGAGATAATAATGGTTTCAGTGATACAAGTGTTACTGAGCTGGCGAGGGAAGAGTTAGATTCATGCCTTTCCTAAGGGTATTTGCGCCTAAGTGAACATAACAAAACCAACTGGAATTGGAACTCCCCAAATTTTCGCTTGAGGATGAAACAGGGCTTGATACTTTAACTCAATTTAATTTTAATAATTATATTGAGGTTTTCGGCTCTCGTTTTTGAAACATGAGAACTCTTATGTAGCAAAGGAATCATATTTAAAAAATAATTATAATATATATATATATATATATATATATATATATATATATATAGTGTATTTCGTTAACAATTCTTCTTTTATACAGTTTAATAATGAAGACAGGCAAGGTACTGCGACGAAGTTTATATGCAATTTTTCTTCTGTTCATACAAGTGTTTCTTTCTGATTGATTTTAATACACTGATAGATCTTAATACTTTCTGATAGATCTTAATATTCTGTAATAGATACATAGATCTTAATACACTGTGACAGATAAATAGATCTTAATACTTTCTGAGAGGTCGATAAATCTTAATGCTCTCTGATAGCCAGCTCTTAATATTTTGTGATACTGTGATTGATAGATAGCTTTTATACTCTGTGATAGATAGAACTCTGTGATTCATAGATAGATCTTAATAACCTGTGGTAGATAGGTCTTAATAATCTATCTATCTATCTATCTATCTATCTATCTATCTATCTATCTATCTATCTATCTATCTGTTGTGGATTCCGGGAATGGAATCCTGCACAAATAAATAAACAACGCCAGTAATTGAGATAGAAAAATAAGTGTATTAAACGTAAGAATACAGACTTGAAGTGAAGATTAGTAGTCCAGGAATGCGGGTTAGTAGAAAGTATATGTACAAGTCTCTGTAAGTAAAACCGTAATCATCTCTCTCTCTGGACTCTTGTATAACTCTCTGAGAACACCCTGTGTCTGTCTCCGTATCTCTCAACCTGTCTCAACGTATCTCAACAGCAGGTATTCTCTCTGTCAGTATAAGTATACTTTGGACGAGTCCATCTTATCTAAAAAGGGGTGAGCCCCACAACACTATCTATCTATCTATCTATCAAATATATTAATATATATCCATCCAAACAGAGCGAGGTAGATAGATATTAATACACCGAGAAAGATAGATATGTCATAATACTCTGTGATAGATAGATCAATATAGACTGTGAGAGATAGATTTTAATACACTGTGATAAATAGATTATAAAGCTCTGTGATATATCTTAATAATATGTGATAGATAGATATTAATAGTCTGAGAAAGATAGATTTTAATTTTGTGATAGATAGATCTTAATACTCTGTGATAGATATTAACACCCTGGGAGATATATATCTGTGATAGATATTAATAATATGTGATTGATAGATAGACCATAATACTCTGTGATTGATAGATAGAACTTAGTACTCTGTGATAGATCCTAATAAACTGTGATAGATTGTAATACTCTGTAATAGATAAATAGATCTATATACTTTCTGACAGATATTAATACTCTGCGATCGATAGAGTGATCATAATATTCTGTGATAGATGTTAATACTCTGTGATAGATTGATTGATCATAATACTCTGTGATAGATCTTAATACACAGTGATAGATAAATCGATCTTAATATCCTGTGACAGATAGATGTTAATATTCTGTGACAGATCTTAATACACTGTTATAGGTAGGTCTTACTATTCTGTGATAGATCTAAATAATCTGTGATAGATCTCAATACACTGAGATAACTTGATACATTGTGACAGATTGAAACATAGATCTTAATATTTTGTGATAGTAGATAGATTTTAATATTCCATGATAGATAGATCTTAATATTCTGATAGAGATAGATAGAACTTGCTAATCTGTGATTAATAGATAGATATTCATGCATTCTGTTATGCATAGATATATCGTAAAATTCTGTAATATATCCTAATACTGTGATTGATATGTCTTAATGTTCTGTGTGACGTCCTTTGGTCGCGGCGCCAGCTGCGACGTCCTTAAACGCAGCCTTCGCTCGCTCCTCGCTGCTCCGTTCGGGTGTCGCCGCTCCAAACGTGACGTCCGCCTGTCGCGTCAGTCGTGTTGTCTCGTCCTGTGACGACCAACTGGCTTGGTATCGGTCACGGCACCCAAATGTGACGTTCTAACCTTTTTGTGATTCGGATGGGAATCTGGTTAGATTCGATATCAGCCTCGTCGTTCCCAACTTGCTTCCAACGCCTGATTACCAAAGTAACTGCACTGATCTCCAGTCTGCCTACCCACGTTGTGAATTGATCTTAGGCAGACGAGATCAATCAGTAGTTGGGGCCGTAATGCAAATCGGGTTCAAACGGGGGTGACACCGCACAAATATGCATAAAAGAAAATAAAATGATAACTCAAAAATTCAAGGTATCAAAAAAAAAAATAATAACAAACTTTATGTCTAGTTGTTGGATACATAGGACTGTCTATTTCCGACCCGTTCTATGGATTGTGACACGTTGTTTTCCGTTAGGCGAGTTTTAACGCTTCAAGTTGTTTGCTCTTTAAGAAATGGGTTTTCAATGTGTCTTCGGGCGAAAGTCGAAAAAAAAAACAAACTTATTTTTGGTGGTCTGGATCTAAGTCGCTCTTCAAATTAATTGTTCTTGGATTGAAGAGGTCCAGGATTTGCGTGAATCTTTCAATTCAGCTATCTGCGAGGTGGAACCAACTTCCACTGCGAACTTCGAGCTCTCTGCTGGAACTGGAACTGAAACTCTAACTCGAACTGATTTCTGCTCGCTGCGACTTCGTTTATATGGACGCCGACCAAAACCGGGGTGGGTTTGTCGGCGCCGGGGGTCCCCTCGATAATTCTAAATACATATCCACCTCTTTTATTTCTGGTTAGGAATTTTCCACTTTTTTTTTCCATTTTTTAAGCCTTCTCTTACTCCCATACTTCAGAGGGGCGTGAACTGCCCTCCCCACTTCATCGTAGCAACCTGTCATACCCATCCTCTAAATGGGCGATGACAGCCTCCTCCGTGCGTCACGTGATCACCACTCGACCAGTGATGTCTAGTCGGGCGTGTACGATCCCGCGGCTTTGTTTCAGGAAAAAAAATATCTTGCTTAACAAAAAAAAATTATCTTTTTCTTTTCCTTTTCTTTCTTTTAATCGCAGTTATCATTTTCTCTAGGCGCAAACAGAACAATACGATCGATGGTGGTCATAACTCTTGTTCTCACCTGGGCATCGTCAGTCATCTTATCGCTAATTATCAGAATGGGTGATCTTTTTAACACGGCCAGACCGTCGCCTCGAAAAGAAACATTTCTAAGTTCCCATTCATTTTTTTCGGTACACATTTCTGATAACATAGTTTTATTATCGCAGGCTAAAGATGTTCTGTCGAAAGAAATCGGTCAGTGGCCACCTCATTGCGGCTTTTTGATACAATTAATTTTTCATATCTATCCAAAGCCCTGTGGTCCACCTGTTTTTCGTCACTTATCAAAATAACATTTTCATTTGGATTTTTCTTTGGCTAGTCGGTCTGTGGTTTGCCAATCAGATGCCTTCCCGCATTAGCGGTTTGTTTATGTATCCCAATAACACAGCCCGTCGTCAGAACACACTCGATTCCTTTATCCACTCAGAATTTTTTTTCATTGTAATGACACTCTTCGCAATTTGTTATTTATCAAAATATCCTTTATCCATTGTCTCTTAGCCGTGGTGTTCTGCTTATCATCCACGCTTTGGGTCTTCGCCTCTCTTTTCCTTTCTTTCCTTTCTTTTCTTTTTCTGCCTTGGTAAATGGTGCCACAATGTAGCAGATAGGCCTTAATACTCTATTAGAGATAGATATATCTTAAGACTCTGTAACAGATATATAAATCTTAATACTATGTGATAGAGCTTAATACACCGTGATAATATATAGACAGTAATAATCTGTGATAGATAGATCATAATACTCTGTGATAGATGTTAATATTCTGTGATGATACATCTTAATATTCTTATATAGGCAAATAGATCTTACTATTCTGTGATTAATAGATAGATATTAATGTCCTGTGATTGATAGGTAGATAGATCTTAATATACTATGATAGAGAAATTTTAATATTCTCCGATACATCATAATAATTTGTTATACATAGAAATATCGTAAAATTCTGTGATAGATTCTAATACTCTATGATTGATAGTGTTATGGTCCGGTTCCTTGTAACACGGTGATAGTCCAAGGCAGAACCAATAAAGAAGAACTTGAACACAGGTATGGAATAACACAGATATATTACAGGAATATATACAGAGAAGTAGAAAGTGTTAGTACGAACAATCAGGTTTAGTAGGGAGAACAATGTAGTCTCGACCAGTATCACTATTCCAATGTCTTGTAGTAATTGTCTGAATGCGACTCTGTTTCGAACTGCCTCTGACTCGACTCTTGACTCGACTTGAACTACTGATTCCTTGCCTACTCCTGAGGCGCAGTATTTATTAAGTATGGAATAGTCCATTATTATTATGGGTAAGATCCCATAACAGATAGATAGATATGTCTTAATTCTTTTTGATACATAGATCTTAATATATTGTGATAATATATAGATCGTAATCTCTGATAGATAGATGGTAATCTCTGATAGATAGATGTTAATGCTCTGTGATAGATCTTAATGGTTCCTGATAGATTGATCATAATTCTCTTTTATACATAGACATATCGTAAAATTCTGTGATCGATAGATAGATACTAATACTCTTATATGGATAGATCTGATTAAACTATGATTACTAGATAGTTTTTAATTCTATGTGATAGATCTTAATACTCTGTATTAGAGATTGAACTTGATACACTGTGTTTGATAGATAGATATTAATACTCTGTAATAGATCTTAATACTCTGCGATAGGTAGATCTTAATATTCTGTGACTGATAGATAGATCTTAATAATCTGTGATAGACTGATGGATCAATATTCTTTGATAGAGCTTAATAGTCTGTTACAAATCTTAATAGTCTGTGACAGATCTAAATACACTTTTTTAAAAGCATTACGCCCCGAGCAAGGCATGAAGCCACTAGGATGCAGGGGGTTGCGGAAGATTTGGAGCGAGAGCAGATAGGAGTGATAGAAGAAAGGGTGAGGAGAAGGATAGTGGGTAGATCAAGATAACTGGAGATGTCGATTGACATTACATTTGAATAATTGGAGATTATAGCTCTCAGGGAAACAGTAATTGGGAAGGTTGTTCCACAGGCGAGAGGTGCGAGGTATGAAGCTATTGGAGTAGAAGAGACGGCTACATTTGAAAGTTTCTACGGTGTAAGTGTGAGAGCGGGATGTCAGCCTCGTAGGGCGCTTGAATTCATGGAGTCTGGGAACCAGTGAAAGCAGCTCATCAGAGCAATTACCATGAAAGTATTTGTAGAAAAGACAGAG